GAGAGTAGGTGACCGCACACTGACACGTCGTAGAGCAATCAACTGAAGCCATGTGATCTGTATACACAGCGGGCGACGACCCAGGTACCTTCGAAAACAACTTATGTCAACTACTGCTTGCATGATGCTGATGTCGATGGCTCTGACTATCATTTCTCAGGCTTGTCACTGACTGCCCACTGGCATGCGCAGCTATGTATGTTACGCAACACCCATCCTCACGAGCAACGCGCAGTCGTCAACACAAGTTCAAGGTGTGGGACGCGATCAGCTGCAGCGGCACGAGTGGACCATTGGAAGGTGAGCCGGATTCTGTTCCGCACAACATGCTCAGGAGATGCCACGCCGTTCCCGGGAACCCCGAAACATCTGAGCACACCATCTTCCAGACACCTAATACTGGCTGGATGATGATCCCCGCATATGATATCGCCTCGGTGCTGCAGCGGATGGCGCAGTTCGTGAGGCAGAGCCCCGCATGCCACCTACCGGCTCCGCAAACTACGAGATAAGGCGCTGCCAAATTCTTTGCAGCCATTGTGAACATCTGGAGGCCGCGATGGCTATCCTGGTCGGCAACGAGTACTTCTGCAACCTAGTCATCACGGATACCACATCCGCCTCCCGGTTCAATATCCCATCGCCAGATTCCGCAATCTCTCGTAGTCCGGGGTACCGAGACCAGTGACCTATGGCAGATGCGCATCATCAGCACACGGTTGGACCCATTGACAGGACAGCACACTCGCACTCACCGCGTCCCACCCCTTCACCGCCGGAAATCCGCGCGTCCCACACCCAGGGTTCCTCCCGTCGCTCACGTCATTGAACACCCTCAGGCCCCCGTGCCTCCCCTCCTCCTCCGCCGCATAATAGAACAACGGGTTTACCCACCCGAGCGTCGACTTCCCCTCTTTCAGCCGCTCGTCATTCAGCAGCCCAATCATGCTCGCAAACACCGGCGCAGCCGCGCTCGTGCCCCGTGCCAAACGCGCCTTCCCCGCAACGTACACCGCGTAATCCGTCCCCTGCACCGCGACGTCCGGGAACGCGCGCCCAGACGCATTGAACCGCCCGTCCAGCTCTCCGTACGCCGGATCGGCCTTGACAGCGCCGAGGTAGGCACGCACCGCGCTGTCCTGCCATGCCGGCCGCGGGAAGATGTTCGAGAAGCCCCCGGACGAGTACGGCGCCGCCCGCTCGGGGTTGATGCCCTCCGTCGCTCCGACCGAGGTCACACTGCGAGTGTCATAGAGCGTCAGCCCGGGGTCACGGCGCGTGCAAAGAGCGGTCGACATACAACGGACAGGTGCTCGGGAATCCGGGCACGAACGACCCGCTGTCGCAGCGCTGGTCGGGGTTGAATGACCCGCCCGCGACCCCGCCGTCGCCCGAGGAGAAGATCACGGTCGTTCCGCGGGTGCCGAGCTGCGCATACGCGTCGCACAGAAACCTGTCCGTGCCCAGTCGCCCATGGTCAGTCCTACACCGCTGCAGACCGACGCAACGCCTGGTGACAGACTCGCCTGACTACCTCAGCGTCATGCTGGCCCTCCCACTCGGTCTCGTCGAAGCCATAGCTGGTGGTGAGGACAGGCGGCGGGCGGTCCTCCTGAAGAAAGTGGTCGATGATATCCATGAACCCGAAGATCTCGTCGTCGTTCTGCCAGCCTACGGATACGAACCGCGTCGGCACCCGCGACGCAATGCCTACGGTGTACTGGGTATCGAGGTTCTGTCGAGCATATCAGTCCGGAAGTGAACAGAGTACTCGCCCTGCCAGCCTGGCTCCATGTCACATACCGCTTCGGACGTGCCCACCCCGACGAGTTTACCTGCATCGATCGCCTCCTCACCAAACGTTGCATTCCATATATCCGGTCGTTCCTCACGGAGGAAGAGCTGGTAGCATATCCGTCAGTACGCTCAAGCCACAGGAACAAGCAACTCACCCTTAGATCGGTCTTGTTCGCAACCTCGCTCCCAAAGGCACTGACAGCAATCTCATTCCCAGCGGCGGTAGCTGGAGAAGCTGTAATGTTGTAAAGAGCTTGCAAACAGCTAGGCGTAATCTTGTGGGCGCAGGAAGGCGGGACATCGGAGGTTGCCTCTGTGCGTCTTGCCTTTGGCGAGGCAGCAACCTCGAAGATTGGACCACGACGCCTCATTGGCGAATGGAACCTATCGAAAAGATGAGGAGAGGCAGTGGTATCACTACGTTGGACTCCTACTTACTGGGTAGTTGGGTAGATGAATCTGACGTAGTCCTCCACATCCTCTGGCAAGGCGTATGACAGCGTGCGCACCGTCGTGCTGTTGGATGGCTTGTGCACGAACTCGGTGTATTCAGCATTCAGCAAAGCGTTCGCGGCTACAACCGGGACCTGAATACGCCAGGACTCTCCAGAGGGAGAGGTTGCCACAGGCGTGATGTTGTGGCTCGCCAACCAACTAGCCACAGCAGCCTGGCCTTGGGACGTAGGCGCGACGAATCGGGCCACCTATCACACATCTCGACATGAGTTGAGTGAGATGAGATGACGAAGCGGACACTCACTGCAGCTTTGGACAGGTGCTGACCGTATTTCGGACTGGCCGGGTGACTAACTTCCCCGAGAACTGCGAGGAGTCCTTCACGATCAGTGGATTGCAGCCCAATCACCAGAGTTAACATCATGTCTGCAGGAGCAGCCTGGACAGGCTCGAAGTCATGCGGCAGGGTTCTCGACCTGAGCGTCGCACCCTTGGAGACAGAGGCAAAAAACAGCAGGGCGGGTACGAGCGAGCATCGCAGCAACATAGCGAAGCTTAGGAACCGGGAGGTGGGGACGAGACGGGACTACGATCGATTCTCGTTATAAGTGGGCGAGCCAGACCGCGAGCGAGCTGGTCATGGGCTCACTTTCCTTTGCCGATGCCCCTCGGACATGCGAATACGCAGGGCGCGGACGGGATCATAGCACGATCCGCTGCACGAGCCGTAGAAGATACCGGCCGAATGCCGCTTGCAGGCAACGCGCTGCCTCCGTGAATGATTGCAGGCCCGACCTGAGAAGCAGCAAATAGCACGCCAAGGGTCACGCGTGAGGCTTCCAAGTCATCAGTCGTACAGATGACGCTCGGTACGGCGGACGTTATTCCCGTTTACGAACCTGTCACTCACCTTGGAGTGTAAGTAGCATTGCCAAATAGTATCTAGTACCGGACGAAGAAGCATGACCCCGATATCGTCGGTAGATACTGATACTGGTTAGGCGTTTCGCACCTGCCTTTAACGTACAAGCCGTGAAGAGCTCATATGTAGTGTCCACTACCTGAAGGAGTGACAGAGATCAGCCATGGGACGCTCGTGCACGCAGACTCACAAGCCACAAAGCTGGGTCGAGAGTGTGGAAGTACCTGCTGTGTAGCCAATCGTACACCGGGCGGCAAGCATTCCCACACTGTGAGCTGTTCGTTACTATTAAGTATCGCCCCAGAGGGAGGAGGAGGAGGAGGAGGAGGAGGAGGAGGAGGAGGAGGAAGAAGAGCGTAGCGACGAAGCGCCCATCGTGCCTCGCGTCCATGTGATCGTGATGCGTCTGGTCCCGTGCCCTTAACGCGTCGCGTCTCTGGAACCTGCGGCGTCCACCGGTCCAGGTTGCTAGACTTCAGACTCCAGTATGTGGTCCTGCAGGTTGTACTTCAGGGAAGGCGCGTCGTCGTCAATTAGCAGGCTTTGAATCGACGTTCATATATGTACTAGTACAATCAGAGTCAGACGGACCTCGATGGCAGTCGTGGCCGCAGGCTCGGGAGATATAAGCACGGGTAGTCATAATATGTATTCGATGACAGTGGACAGTGGTAGACAGATGAGGTAGACGGAGCAGTGATGTGTGATTGCGAGTATACAAGGCGTGAATTGTGGTATACCTAGGGTAAAGCAGCAGTGGATGATATGGGGGTTATCACGAGCAGGGCAGCCCGTGCTCCAGCTTGAAAAAATGGCGATAGATATGGTGTGGAAGATGTCGAGGAGCCAGAAAAATTGACTGAAAATCTTGAGGGAAGACATGGCATGCGATTCTTCAAGGATGTGGCGTAGCTTGGCCCATAAGTCGTGCCGCGCAATCGTAGCATGTCGTAAGCTCCCTGCAAACGTCCACGCCAAAGGTCCCGGAACGCGCGACCACCACGCAGACAACCATGCACACTATCAGCGCCGCCCCACCCACCGGCGAAACGCACACGCAACCACGCACCTGTCAGGAATCTCAAACGCACAATTGCGGCACACCGTCCTCTCGCACCCGGGCAGCACCCCGTCCTCCTGCTTCTCCTTGCCCGACTCTCCGTCTCCGTCGCCGGTATGTCCGCGTCCTTCATCGTCATCCTCTGCATCGTCCCGATCCCTCATCTTCCTCCTCCTCCCGGCCATCGGGGGTGGCGCCGCCCCGAGTGCCGTCTTCGTATGCAGAGCGAGCGCAGGTCGCCTCGAAAATGGCAGTGGCATTGGCAGCCTTGCGCAAGCATCCGGTTTTGATGCATCCGGTGTTGAGGTCATGGTAGGTGGCAGACACGGAAGGCATCCATTGCAGGTCCTAGAACAGATCACGCATGTCGCTGCATGGCATCTGTGTACGCAGTGAAACATCAGTGTCTGTCAGATCCACCACCGGCAGCACTACGCACCGTGCACACTGAACAAGCTGGCCCTGCTTCGACCCAAAGAACGCCCTGTGGCAAGAGGCGCATACCGTTGCTGTCTTCAGGTGGTTTGCAGTCGCACAGGCGGGTAGCAGCCAAGAGTCCTGCTTGGCAGCTGAGGGAGGAGGATGTGCAAGCTTCCTTCTCTTCATCAGATGCATCCGACGACCAAGGGGTACGGGAGAGCCAGACGAGAGCATGTTGGTGTCGAGAGATGCAAGAGTGAAGGTTGGTGAAAGCGTTTGTCTCAGATTTGGCAATGCATGCATACACTGACAGAGCACGCAAAAAAGGTGACTTATACTGCATTATACACCGAACGGGAATCGAACCCGTGCCGCTTGCTACCTCAAATGGAAGGCAAGCATGATAACCACTTCACCATCGGTGTATGACTAGATGCTTAAATATACGAATATGACATAGCGTGATGTGCCACTCTCGGCAGTCGCAGTACCTATTTAGCCACCCTCCAAGTCCCACTGCAGTCTGGGAGTGGCTCAGTGCTCTACATTCGAAGTTAACCCTCACCTCCTCCTCGCCCGCCTCCCCACGATGAAGAACAAGAACAAAGCAACCAAGTTCCCCGTAGTACGCCTGTCCTCTTCTTCAGCTGTCTCCCGCCTGCTCACCAATTAGCCCTTCTTGTCCCCGCGATCGTCCCTGCGCGCACCTCCACGCCCTCCCGCCCTCCTCGACCTCCACCGGAACCCGGCCGCCCTACCAGGCGCGCATAAAGCGCATCATGCAGAAGGACGAGGAGGTCGGCAAGGTCGCGCAAGCCACGCCCGTCGTCATCTGTGCGTGTCCCGCTAGTCCTGTGTGCTTCGTCGCGCCCGCTCCATCCTGACCGCCCTCCACACACGCATCCGTCCTGTCGCAGCAAAGGCACTAGAGCTCTTCCTCGCCATGATCGTAGAGGAGGCCAGCAACGTCACGATTGACCGCGGGTCGAAGCGCGTCGAGGCATACCATCTGTACGTCTCCTCCCTTCTTGCCGCCACCTTCCCACTGCTCCTTCGTTCTACCCACTCGCGCCCCCGCCACCCTTGTCCTTCCGCATCCGTCCGTGACACACCGCTCATCACTCCCCTCCCTGCAGCAAGCATGCAATCGAGACCGTCGACATGCTCGACTTCCTCAAAGAGATCGTCCAAGCCGTCCCCGACCCCTCCGCCGGCGGCACCATCGACATCGATTCCGAGAACGCCGAGGGCCGCAGCAAGAAGCGCGGCAAGGGCAGGGCCAAGAAGGAACTCGACGCCGACGACGCCGACGCGGAGAAGCCCGCCCCCAAGCGCAGGCGGCGGAAGGCCTCCGCGCCGAAGAACAAGGACCGGGACGAGGACGAGGAGGAGAAGGACGAGGACGGCGAGATGGACGCGGAGGACGACGACGACTACGACGGCGCCCCCGCACGCAACCGCAACGGGCGCCGTGCCCGGCGAGACGACGAAGACGACGACTGGGAGGGCTAGCCGACGTACGTGGCTTGCTGCTGTACTTGTGAGGCTTCTGTTGTACGGTGTACGAGTACTGGTTCGTGTTCGCTGTGGTCGATTACATATGAAGCGCGTTGTGTGTACTGTACATACCCGTCGAGCTATGGTAGTGCTGCGGTTCTACTCAGACTCCGCTTGGCGTTGCCCCAATCTACATTCATACCAGCAATGTATGACTGGCAGTCTCATCACAGCACCGAGCAGCCTTGTGGCGAGCGCATCGCGTCACGACCAACAAGCCGCGTCCTCGAACTTGTAAAACGTAGCGGCAGGATTGTGCCAGTCCCAGAAGCCGACTGTCGAGAGGGAGAGAAACTCACCTTGATATACCTTGCGCAGGGAGCTTCGCGACGCCGTCAGCAGCAGAGAAAAACAAGCGGGATGAGATTAGGAACGCGATATACAGGTAACAGACCCCAAGGAAGGCGATCAACCCGAATTCGACCTGGGGACCCTCGGTGGCCGGACGACGTTCCCTCTGCGACGCACCAGACACCCATCAGCCACCTCCCACCCCAAAGCAACACGCAACCGACCACGCACCTATGCAGCACCGCGAGCTTATGCACGGCCTCCTTGTGCTTCAACACCTGACTGTCCCCCTTCACGATCGCAATGACCTCCCTCGCCAGCCGCTCCTCCTCGTGCCGCCCGCCCCGCTTCTTGCTCTCCTCGATGATCCACTTCAGCGCCTGCCACGCCCGCTGCCGGTCGTTCAGCGGGATCGGGAACACAAACTGCTTCGCCGCCCGCTTGAAGCTCCTGCAGCGCAGCAGCGGCTCCGCCGCGACGATCGCCTGCCGCAGGATCGGCATCGGCGGGGCCTTCGTGAACGCGTGGATGTGCAGCAGCATCCGCGTGATCTTGCGCGACGCCTCCTGCCGCTTCCCGTGCCGCATCACCATCGACGTGAACAGGTGCAGCAGCGGGTCCTCTGCTGGCGGGATGTGGATCACGGCCGCGTCCGTGGCGTGGGGGAGGATGGACGTGGAGGCGGAGGCGGTCGTAGGTGTTTGGATAGTGACGCTGGACAGAGCCCCGTTCTCCGCCGCGCCGGGCAGGGTCGAGGATGCGCTCTCCGTGGCCAGTCTTCGCGCGTTCACTGCAACCGCAGGACGGAATGCGAACCGCGTCGCCGCAGTTCTGATGCTGGCAAACATAGCCGCTGCAAGAAGTAGTCAGAGCCAGTACAGCCAGTAGAAATAGCGTTGCACACCGGAGCTAGAGTCGTCCCGGCGCGACACAGGTGGTCGGGGTAGAGAGCGAGTGCGGACTCGGGCGAGCGCTGGACAGCAAAAGGCCGCAAATCCACATTTGGAAGATGAAGCGCCGGTGAGACTCTCTCATCTGCTCTCATGTCCAGGAAGTTACTTACTTCGTTTTGAGAATCACAACGACGCACGCTACCGGATTCAGAGTGCTAGCGTGTTAGCTACTACTCTCTGGTCTCGCCGTTTGATTCCGAATTGTCCTGGCCGATACGTATGGACGTTTCACTCAAAGCTCACTATGCTGACATCGTTTTCCTAATGGTAGCGGCGGCTGACGTCATGGGACCCGTACTCAGGAGGCTGGAGGCATACATATAAGACTTCAACCTCTAGATCCGTGTTTCACGTCACATTCCTCATTCCCAGATGGCTCAGTGGTTGTCCGAAGCTTGCCCCCTCCCTGACGAGCAGACGGCGCGGGACCATCTCCTCCGGGAGTTCCCCTGCCTTCAGAGGAGTGATGATGTCCTGGAGAACGTGATGGGCGTATACACCAAGGTCCTCCAGGCCGAGCGGGCAGCGGAGGAGGACCGTCTCGACCTCGTGCGCACTCGCCTAGTTGGATACTTCATCCTCCATTCGCCAACTCCGAAAGCACTTGTCGCCTTCGCCCACGAACTGCGCTCCATCGCTGGTGGACCCGAGTTGTTCAACCACGCCTGTTATCAGCTCGGTGACGAAGTACTGGAACAATTCGTCCGTCCTTGTGAGTAACCGTTCTGAACGCCTTCCCCAGTTGCAGCTGACGAGTTTCTGCATAGGGAGAGTGAGACGTTGCGATCAAATCACTCGCCATGTGGAGGGTCCCGGTTACCCGTCGGTCCTGGTGAAAACGGACGTGGAGGAGATGCTTCGGGAAGCCCCGCAGGATGCATTATACGCTCGCCTTGCCGTGCGTACGCAATCCTGCCTTCTTGTGTGCGTCGTGTTCTCATGTCGATACCGTGCAGGCGCTGCTCAGAGACTGTTACCGCTGCCAGGCCACAGGCTCGGTCGACTTCGACACAGCCGCTTTCACGCCAGGGCTTCGCGAGCGTGTCGATGCACGAGTGGACGTGACGGACGTTCGCCACATCATCCCCGACTTCGACTACGACCCCTCTCACTGGAAGGACTCTCCCCTGGTCAGTCGCACGCTCCACTGAGTGTCGACGACACTGACCATGCAGCATCTGTTCGTCGTTCGTCGTTCGTCAGAGAAATGAAATGCAGTGGAAGTTCTGGGAGAGGTTCGGCCATCCGGAGCTTCGCGCAGAGCTCTCCGGGAGGATACACCGTCTGGAGAACGTAGTCACGTTGCGGGCGGACATATGCGAGATGGTGGACGACCTCCAGCTCTGCCTCAAGCCAGTGCAGGGTATTGTGAGTGTTCGCTGGCGTGCGTCCATCGTACGCGCACTGACGAGGACACCGACATGTTCATCCAGAAAGGCATCTTTAATATCTTCGTGTTCGGACGCAATGCGACTCGCCTCAAGGACCTGCGCGGAATCCCCGATCAGAAGATGTTCTACATCAACAGTTCCGTGGACATCCCCAAACCGGAGCTCAAGTACTTCCGGATCTTGGCGACCTGCTGCTTCATCGCGAATCTGTCTGGCGCGATGGAGTACACCGACATGAGCTCCCGACTGGTGGAGTGACCAGCGACTCAGTTTGACTCATGTACATATGTCTGTGTATGGCATCATCACCTGTCCCTATTGCTCGTGTTTGCATGTCTTGCAGCCACCATTTGCCCTTTCCGTCTACATACGCCTTGTGATGTCTCCTGTAATGCTTTACTATTCAGACACAATCGCACATTGTGCCTTCGTTCTGGGCTACAACCTGCGTCGCCAGAGCCCGCGAGACTCCCTGTCCTGTCTCGTGCATTCAAATCTGCATATACCGTTCCGCACCTCAGTGACCCTCACTCGTCCAGGGCGCATACAGTATCGATCCGTCTGTGATTCACGTACTCCGTGGATTGTGTGCCAGGTCTGGATACGTAGGAACATCACTACTGTCGCTGCCCATGTTCTTGTCATCGGCCCTCGCAAAAGCATGGTCATTGGAGCGAGGATGATGATATTCATGGGCTAACGAAGGGCCAACCTGTGACATGACAATCATTGATTGCAGGAGCCAAGCTGCAGTCGACGCAACATGCGAACTTCGCATAAGCGGACTATCGAACATACACACTGGGTTCGGGGTAAGTACTACGACAACCGCCACTGCCGCCTCCGTCTACTCCTCCAGATCCATCGGCAGCATATTTTGAGAGAAAAAGAACAAGTCCATTGGTCTTCACTGGCAATAAGACATAAAACAAGCCCCGCGCGCATCTTCGAAGGCCTGGACTATGACATTCTAGACACCCGCACACCGCTCCCCGCGCTTCCTCAACGTTCTGCTCCCGACCGCTAGTGGCCGTTGACACCGTTCACCTGGCCGTCGTTGACGTGACTCAGAGCCGCATCCGCCTTGCGCAAGTCGCCCTCGCTCAGGCTGTTGTAGCGTCCGCCCCCAGGCGTGCTCGCACCAGACATGACCGAGTTCGCGCGCGACCGCACCTTCATCACTAGCGGGAACGGGTAGCCCTCCTCCTCGTCGTCCTGTGACGGCCACTGCAT